ATGTATATAGGATATATTGAGTATGGTGATCAGATCATGATATGAATATACATAACAGTTTAAATAATGCACCAGTAAGGCCTTTTCGTGAACCACCATGAGAATTGGGGGGGGGGGGGGCTGAAGCCCCTCAAGCCCCCCCCCCTGGCTACATGCCTGCCAAGTACCATTTCATCCAAGTCACATTAATCCGTGTGCTGACTTTGTCAGAAAGGTTGCCATCTGAAGTTATCGTCGATCCAAGATTGCGTTGACATTTGGGAGATCCATCCTGCCTGCCTGGATGGTACCTCATTGGTCATCAGGTACTCCATATTTTTGACATTGGGGCAAAGACCACATTGCACCAACTGGTCACATCATACTTGCACTTGTTATTCAAGTTCTTCTTGGTCCTCATAAGCAAGCATTACATCGTCAGCCGACAGCAAAGTCCAAGATGACGGTTTCTGCAGATCTCTAGTGACTGCATTCACAACAACTAAAAGGATTGCCTTTTTATCTGATTACCCTATAAAATATGTATTTTTCTTGCCTTGTCAAAAATGCATATGCATTTGTGTATTCTTTACACCTCCGATTCCATTAGCATGAAAATCTGGAGAGAGCACTCTGTGGACAAAAGAGCACTCAAAAGCACAGTTGAAAGATGTTGGATTTTATTTGATTTGTGCATCTCTAACCTGACCTGTAGCCAGGACTGACATAACATTCAGCTGCCAATCCAGTTGATTCATTTACATAGCACTGGGTGGTGCCAGTCTGTGCTTTGTCTCAGATAGTAAATTGTTTTGGGTCGTTATGTCTGGGTAGAGACATAATGAATACTCACTAAGTTATCACCCAATAAGGAAGTATGACTACTGAAATGATAACACTGACCAACACACATTTGGTGCCTCACATGTTAGACGTGTTTCTGGATATATTTGATGTGCTGATTCCAGAAATGTCACCAGTTTTCCCCTGTCAGTTCTACTTTTTGAGATACAGAACATATGCTATATACCAGTTTTCATGTGTTCACCCATAAGAAATCATGATAACAATATTAAGCAAACTAGAGTTTATGTGATCGATCTAATACAATTTTCTGAATTAGCACCCTAATAAACCTCCAGGAACAGGCCTAAAAACCAAGACACCATTTTTTTTTGTTGGGCTGTGTAATTGGACATCAGCCATTTTCTCTTTTGGGGACTTTTATGCACATTTTCTTGGGTGCAAACTTTACATTTTTTGCACAACACAATATTTTGTGTGTGCTATTTTTGCCCAAAAAGTTAAGGTAAAAAAAAATCAAAATGTGCAAAAATGATCATAATCCCATTCAGCAAAGGAAAAAAAACTATTTAAAAATTATTCTTTGTTGTATGGTAAAATGCCATAGGCAAAGATTTACAACTCTAGCACTGGATATACTCGACCCTGTGTGGGAGAGATGGCATTTTCATTACATTCGTTAAAACCACAAAGAAGGACTGATAAAATATATAATTATGCCCAGAGAGAGAACTAAATTAATATCAACCCTAATTAGCTTTGTCCCAAACAGAGTAAGTAAATAAGTAAGAAGCACATCTGACAGTAACACCTTGTGGGAGGGTCACACCCTTCCCACACAATATGAGGAAAATGTTGACTGGGAAAATTATTTTCATGTGTAAAGGAAGGTGGTTATTAGGAGAACAGAACCTGCAATGTAGGGAAACAGCTATGATTAAATCTAAGGCTGGAAATAAACTGGGAAATATGGTTTCCTTTTTAAATCTTGTGTGTCTGTCCGGATTTATGTGTAGAGAGAAAGAGAGACAGAAGTTTCTGCCTCTTGAAAGAAATTAGATATAAGGTGTCAGATGAAATGTAGAAAAGACCTAAGATGCTTCCAACCCCTCAAATTTTCTGTATATGTTTTAATGTGAAATATTTTTTATTGAAGCCAGGTTGACATAGTGCTTTGAACAAAGACTACAAAGACTAGAGTTTGGTTCCCATGATTATACTGACTGGAAAGTACAAACAAATTTCATTGGAATTTTAGCAGTTTATTCTGTCATTCACTTACTGTATATACTTGAGTATAAGTCTAGTTTTTCAGCCCTTTTTTTAGGCTGAAAAAGTCCCCCTCGGCTTACATTCGAGTCAAGGTTATTTATTAGGGCTGTCCAAACACAGAAAAATTTGTTTCTAAACTCGATTCGTTTTTAGGGTTTTTTTGCGTTTCGTTATTTAAAAGAATTCCGAAATTTTCCTTAAAAAAAGTTCGATATTTACGAAATTTCGGAAATCATAAAACAATTACGAAACAATTACGAATCGATTATGAATCGATTCGTTAATGGCGGCCGCGATCGCGCAATACGCTAAAAAAACTTCTGAAGCTTCCCTCTCCCTCTGTTGTTGACTGTTGGTGTGATAATTATATTTTTTTCACTGAGAAAACAAACAGCAACCCTAAAACTTGCACCAGACATGCGGAAATAATAACGAAACATTTACGAATCAATAACGAATCAATAACGAAACAATACGAAACAATTACGAAACGAATTGGAAAAATTCGTTTAGTTTTTTAGTTGCTCCTGAATGGTTCAATATCGCTTCCTTATAAAAAAAAATAACGATTTTTTAACGAATTACGAAATTACGAAATGAAACCGCCCAGCCCTATTATTTATTATTTTACTCTTTTATTATTATTTTCATTTCATTTATTATTTTTTTCTATTTATTATTATTACATTTATCATTTTACTCTATTATTATACATTTATTATTTTACTGTATAATTGTTGTTATTGCTACATTCATTATTTTACTCTTTTTATTATTGTTGTTATTACATTTATGTTACTCTCTTTATTATTATTGGAAGGATACGTAAGCACATTTACAATGAAGAAGGTAAATAATCATTTAATCAGAATTGGACAGTCTTATCTTAAATTACCATTTTTGTAAATATTCCAAAATATATAACCTACTGATTCCTCAATTAATGTAATTTAATTGGTATCTATTTTTATTTTGCCATTTACCTGTAACTGCTGCATTTCCCACCCTTGGCTTATACTCAAGTCAATCCGTTTTCTCAGTTTTTTGTGGTAAAATTAGGTGCCTTGGCTTATATTCGGGTTGGCTTATACTCGAGTATATACGGTAATTCACTCAATACTTGGTTTTGCCTACTTTGTGATCATTTTAATTGTTTGATTGTTGGTGTCAGTATTCAGTTCTGTTTTTCTACGCTTAACAATTGATATTTAATGGTGTCTGTTAAAATGTAAAGTGATTTAGCAGTTGGCATCAACTGATAAAGCGAAATTACACTTAATGACTATGTTAGAATGGAATAATAGCAGTAGTATTTTGTAGTCAATTGTTTATCAGATTTCATATCATTCCATTGTGACAATCAATATAATCAAAAGGTACCAACAGAAGTGGCATATAAATATACTGTTTTGTTTGCCTTCCCAGTATGTTTCTTTGTGTATTAGTCTAGGAAAATGTATATCCCTGCATCCATCCTATATATTTTTAAATTTTCGAAGTGTTCTAAATATCTTATCTATATATCTAGTAGTGATAATATTTCTTTCACTCTTCCTTTTTTCTATATATCTTTTAGCATGATGATAAAATTTAAAAACCGATATGCAAAAGTATGATAGCATTTAGGTCACCAACTGATGTTTAGCAATCCAATTGGCTTTCCATATTTGTGGATTTTGTGGATTTGATTAATTAGGAATCTCTAGGTTCTCCAAGGCAACTCTGTGGTTATCTTTCACTCACGGTTGACCATAAAGTCATTATAGAGTGCCATATAAATTCCTAGAGATAACATTTTGCCAGGAACCTCTAGGTCCTCCAAGGTGATACAATGGTCAGCTTCCAGCTTAGCTTCTTCTCTGACTTTACCAGGCTGTGCTGAATATTCTTTTGATTTGGGCTTGAGAATTAGGAATCTGTAAATATTAATATTTGAAAAACCATCTTAGGTGTTACAGGTGGCTGCTATTTTAGCATTCTTCCTCCCACCAAGTTGATATTTCTTAGCAAAGAGAACGATCTCAGTCAAAAGAAAGTCATGCAATGAAGGTAACACCATAACAATACTATAGAACTAATAAAATTTAATTACAAGATGATGTCATAAAGCCAAAACAGGAAATGAAAGAGTGGGAGAATGCCTCTAGGAAAAGTAACATGGGGGATCCCACCACAGCTAGGGATCAGTGTGGCATTACCATATTGCATAATTAAGATAGAGACCTTATTCCCCGTCTACATTGACTATTTAATGGAGTTCAAAGCTAGCATCAAACTGTGGTGGCCAGACAACAAACACCTATAAAAATGGATGAAAGAAAGCCCTTAATGCATATCAGTGCTCATCAGCACAGAAAAACTACTTTCATCTACACCAGTTTGAAAATGCTTTAAATGGTAGGTGTGACCTTGATGACTTGATATCACTGATCAAAGACATCACTTTCAAGAAACAGCAAGTTGAGTAAATATTTATCAAGAAGTCCAAAACACTAAAGACATGGGGGAAAATTGTCACACGATATTTTTTTTGCAAAACTTCCCCACAAAGCTGTTGAACTAGGACTCTGCTGAGCAGAGTTTTCTTAGATTTTCCACAAAATTTCATTTAAGCTGCCAGTCAAAACTAGGTTTGCTCAGGGGTGCTTTGCGTCCTTCTGTAGGCAAAAAGGAGACAATTATTCCATGCGGTTCCAGTGTTTGTTGCCAACACACTCACACAAACCACAAAATTCTCTTTGTTTTTTTCCCAAGGAGCTGCTGACACGTGCAGCATCTTCTCTGAATCCCATGATATCTGCAGGCAGCTTGCCTTTGGGAAATTATCCTTGGCACAAATAATTACAGCATCCAATGCTATGAATGTAGAAGAGGAGGAGAAAAACCCAAAGGAAGGAGCTCAACCAGTATTGGTGACACCCTACGGAGAAAGTATAAATCGAGCCTAGTGAGAAGTAGAGCCCAGCAGTCTTAAGTTCAACTCCAAGGGTGCTTCTTTCTTTCTGCTTAACCTTAGAGAGCCTCCACCCCTATCGCTATGAGCAGTGGTCCAAGGCACACTGTTGCAACACCTGCGAGAAGCAGCAGTGGGAGCAGCACCCTAGGGGGAGGACGGGCAGGGGTTGGCTCTGTCTCCTCTGGACGGTATGCTGCCAGTGGGGTCAGCAATGGAAGAAGTAACTTCTCTGTTCGGAGTAATACGGGATCAGCTTCCCCCTGTACCCATGGGCCAGGAAGAGGCCATTTTTCAAGTGGCAGCTGTAGTGGGATGTTTGTCGCTGGTGGGCATGTAGCAGCAAGTGCCTATGGGGATGGCTCTCATGTTACAAATCCTGCTGCTAGAAATAGTGTAGTAGGTGGTGCTGGTGCTGGTCATCCCACTATGGTCGCAGGTGCTGGCCATGGTATCCCTGGTGACATGGTAGGGGGTGCACATGGAGGCATGCCTGCTGGTGTAGTTGGTGGCATGGTAATGGGTGCCCATGGGGGCATGCCTGCTGGTGTAGTTGGTGGCATGGGCAGTGTAGCTGGTAGTACTCATCCCGGTATGGTAGCTGGCAGTCCTCATCCTGGTATGGTAGGTGGCCATTGTGGTATGGTTGGGGGTTTACCTGGTGGTATGGTAGCTGGCATGGGGGGTATGATGGGGGGTGGTCATGGAGGCATGGTTGGTGGTGTAGCCAGTGTGATGACTGGACCTATTCTGGTTAGTTCAGTGAATGGTGAGCCCATTGCTTGTGCAAATGCTGCTTGTGCAAATGTTTGTGGAAGTGTGTTCTCCAGCTTTGATGGTAAAATGACAATGCAGAACCTCAATGACCGACTGGCCAGCTACCTGGACAAGGTCCGATGCCTGGAGGAGGAAAATGCTGATCTTGAGTCCCGAATCAGGGAATTTTATGCCAAGCAAGGACCCCTCTCTGAACCAAAGGATTACTCTCATTACCATCAACAAATTGAAGATCTCAAAAACCAGGTAAGATGTCAGTGCTTAATTTCTTTTTCATTATTTTCATGCAGTTGTGGTAGGTGGCTTCCATGTCAGTGGGAGGGTGAATCCACTTTGGGTCTGAATCCACATTTGAAAGGAACTCTTGAAGATGCTGAAGATGCTGACACTATCTGGTGGGGGGGGGGGAGGGTGTAATTCCTTCAAAGTTCAGACTTTAGTCTGGAGTAGATTTATTGCTCCGTTCACATACCAAATACTTCTACTTACTGGCTTTCATTGAGTTAAAAAAAGCAGGCTCTTGGACTTGAATTTAAATCAGAACAAGAGCATTTTGTAAATCTCACATTACCTGAGTAAATCACAGTTATAATCATCAATGTCCAAACGTCGAACCTTTCAAATAATTTTAGATGTGTTCTTAATTTCCCACAATTATTTTGCTCAATGTATGTTCCCATTATTCCCAAACTTGGTATTTTCATTCTTTGAAAGGAAAAACTGAAAAACAAATGTGAATCCTTCTGTCCTCCAGAGTTTGTTGAACTGCAACACACAGCATTTTCCACCATTGACTAAGTTGGTTTGTTCTGCTGGGAGTTGCATTCCAACAATATCTAGAGGACTACATGGTTCCCAGTAGAAACAGTTGATGATTTATTGTGTCATTGGGCTAGTCAAATCCACCCCAGGTTTCAAAGGAGCTTTCCAAGGTGCTAAACCTTTTAAAATTATGTTTGAGAGCTCCTTGAATACTATTTAAAACAGTGGTTCTCAACCTGTGGGTTCCCAGGTGGCTGTTATAAGTCAAATTGTAGCTGTTATAAGTCAAATTCCCAACTGTTACGAGTCTGGGAGTTGAAGTCCAAAACATCTGGGGACCCACAGGTTGAGAACTACTGATTTAAAACCTGGGGTGGATTCATTGCCCCACTGGCATGAAAATCACTAGCTCACACTTATCACCTCCATTATATGGCTCAAATTAAGCGTCCTAGGATGTTTAGAACCAGCTTGGGAGACGGAGCCCCATTGCAGCAATCAGATGGTGTCATCTGTGTTGACTTTAATAGTATGGTGCAATTTACACCATGAGCTGCCATTCACCAATTTAGTTCTCGGAAAAAAGATGGCAAATAAGGAAATTAAGTTCATCTCACACAATTGTGATTTTGCGTGCAATAGTCCCAAAGACAGTGGAAGAAATATTGAGTAGTAACCCTACTTCCTAAATGATGGAATGTACAAAATGGATGAATATAATGCTATATTCACTCTTAAAGAAATAGAAAACATTAGATAATGAAGTCTCTCAGTTGGCAAGCATGCCAACTGGTTTAGCTATGCAATGATATGTCAGAGTAAAAGACATTTGCATGATACTACCATTAGGTTGGTGAATGGCATTGAGGTGTACACTCTAAACTCTTAGTTGATTTTCATCTGCAAGCTATGATGGCCGGTGAGTTCCATGTTTGTGTGTTGAGCAGTTTTTTCCAGGTTATAGTCCAAACTTTAAAGGTGCAATCAAAATTGCTGAATCTATCCAAGGTGTTGATATTACCCCTAGGTTCAGGAACTTGAGAATCTAGATTAAAGTCCAAAATGGATTCTTCATACCACTAACATATGTGTCACCAGCTGCTACTGTATATGAGAAAAAGATAAGGTCTTATAACTGGCCTTTCAACATTTTGCCTTTATCCAGCTCATTTGTACAAGTGTGGAGAACAACAAACTTCTTCTATGCATTGACAACAGCAAGCTGACTGCTGATGACTTCAGGACCAAGTGTGTATTTTTCAGCTAATATGGGGACAATTGGGTGTGGAGATGGAATGGACATTAATTCTATTGAGACCCACTCTCTAGGATAATATGCTTGGTGAAAGGGGAATCAGATTCCTAGTATCCCTAATCATTGGCCAAGACAGCTAGGGCTTCTGGGAATTCTTTCAGATGCCCCAAACATCTGGAAGAATATCATTAAAGAATTACTGCTATAAGGCATACAAGTAGGACTATAATCAAATATGCCTGTAATTTGGCAAAAAAGCCAACATTATAATTAGCTAAGAATTTTGCTGGGTACTTTTGCTGGGTACTAGTTGGCCTTGGGGAAATCACACTTTCAAGCTTAGAAGAAGGCAATGGCAAACCCTTTCTGAACAAATTTTCCTGAGATTCCTGAGGTATGGTAGTGTTGCTTTCAGGTAACCATACGCTGGAAATGACTTGAAAATATGCAACAAGAACAAATCTAGCAGCAGGTCAGTGATATGTCTCTCACAATGAATGGGGAAACTGGTCTTCAAAGTCCATGAAAACACTTATGAAGGCCTAGTCTGAACACAATGATCAGCTTCAATAACCCAATGGTCACTCTTTGCTCTTCCTGCGGAGGGATCAAAATCAAATTCTCACGCTCTTTTCTTTTTGGCCCAGGTTTGAGACAGAATGTTGCCTCCGTCAGAACGTGGAGGCTGACATCAATGGCCTGCACCAAATCCTGGATCAGTTGACAGCCTGCAGGGCTGATCTGGATGTACAGTGTGATAACTTACAGGATGAGCTAAACTGCCTGAAGAAGAACCATGCAGAGGTAGGGATCATCACTTCCTTGTTTTGGAATGTCTAAGTGGAATGCCTGAAAGAATATTCTTCCTATTACAAGGACTTTAGATCTGGGAACAGTATTCTTAGATGCCAATGGTGCATGTCAAAATATATTGACATCAGAGTCAACTCAAGACATTCTGTGGACTGAGATGAAGAAGAGAATGGTGGCTTCCAACACAAAAAGCCAACTGAATAGGCAGTGGTATAATTCTGATTTTGGGTCAACATTCTCCATTATAACTGATGGTACATAGCAGTCCAATTTTAGTAATCAAAGGGCAGACCAGTTAATCCCCAGCATCTTTCCTTAACAAATTAGTGCTATCTGCCAGTATCTGCCACTAGAAGTTAATGTCCTACTCTATCTAATTGTGGGGCTGGTTTTGATCAAGAACCATCTTTTCCAAAGATTATGCATTTCTGATCCAAGAATTCAAGTTTGATTGGGAAAAATTACCCACTGATATGGAGGAAATTCAAAACTCCCAAATGGAAACATATAAATGTAGGCACATTGTTAAGAGAATTGTGTTTATTGAGTGATGTTTACATAGAGGAGCAAGGAAAGCAACAAGTAAAGTCTATCCAAACTGGACAACTGTAGCACCTTAATGCCACTTTATTTCTTAATACTTTCTTCTATGGAATCTGGGATTTGAAGTTTGATGAGCTACTTGGAATCGAACCCTATAAACAAACTACTTGTATTGGAAGTTACCAGAGTCTTGCTAGAGGTCCCAGAAAACTTGGTCCTACAATAGCATAATAGGGTACATTAAAATAAGTTTTTTCACCAAGGCCTGTGTGGGAAAAGTATCAAATTAAGTTTCATCTTGTTAATCATGACAGAATTAAAATGTTTTAATCTCTGAAAAACATTCACTGTGGTGGATGAGAAGGATAGAATGTTTTGCTGGATCATTCAGGCTTGTTTGGTTATGATGAGATGCCACTTATGTCATACTGTCATTTAATTAACATGGAAAACCATATTAACTAAATCTACATTTTTCACATCTGTAATATTCAAAGAGCGTATTCTGATATAACTTCAAATTACAGTTTACTGTGATATCTGAATGCAGCTAAAGAGTATTTAGAGCAGGGGTCCTCAAACTAAGGCCAGAGGGCTGAATATGGCCTATCAAGGTCATTTACCCGGCCCTAAGGGTCAACTTAAGTCTTGAAAGCACACAACAACAATAACAACAACAACAACAACAATCCTATCTCATCAGCCAAGAGCAGGCCCACACTTCCCATTAAAATACTAATAAGTTTATATGTGTTAAAATTGTTCTTCATTTTAATTATTGTATTATTTTTAAGTGTTTTTTTGCACTACAAATAGGATATGTACAGTATGCATAGGAATTCATTCTTCTTTTTTTAAAAAATTAAAATCTGGCTTTCCAACCGTTTGAAGGTCTGTGACTTGGCCATCTGTTTACAAACTTTGAGAACCCCTGATTTAGAGTATGAAGCAGGCTAGTTTAAGAAGAACATGTGAGCATGTGCTAAAGAAGATTGTACAAAGTGCAGTCATCTTGACCCCAGAGATCTATAGGAAAATACATGTTTCTGATGCATCCCCCTTGCATTTTTTGAGGATTTTAAAAAAGTTCTTCTTTGTGTTCCTAGGGAGCAAGTGTATTTTTGAAATGGCCCCACCTACACTGACCACTGAATGCAGTTCGAAACTAGTTTCCAACTGTGGTGGCCTGACAATAAATTCCCACAAAAGTATTCAAAAGAAAGTTCTCAATGTGCATCAGTGTTCTGTAGTTTGTGTAACCACCATTCAGCCTCAAACTGGTTCCAGGATTTCTGTAATGACCTGCATATCAAAACTACTTTCTTCAATACCAGTTTGAAATTGTATTAACTAGTCAGTGTAGATGGGGACAATGTCTTTTCTATTTGATTTACCATTTAAGAGTCTCCTATATCTCCAGTTATCCTAATTATTGGTATTCATTTGGAGTAGTATGGGAAAGTAGGAAGGAATAAACTGTAAGTGACAGTTGAGAATTGTTTAATTTGGTTTCGGATCCTTTTTGCAGGAGGTTACCTGCCTGAAGAAGCAGTCCACTGGTGATGTTAATGTGGAAGTCAATACCTGTCCTGGACCTGATCTGAAGAAGATCCTGGAAGAGATGAGGTGCAAGTATGAGACAATGATAGAAGGCAACCGGAAGGAGGTTGAGGCCTGGTATGAATCTAAGGTAAGCTGTACATCTCTACGTTTGCAATAAAGAAAACAGAAGAAGAATACAATCACAACTGTTGTGAGGCACCAGTGGCATGAGTAGAGGGGTACGGGGTATGTGAACTACAATGGGTGATGGGATGACACCAAAATGAAAATCTATAAAACTTTTCTATAGTTTCAGCAGAAATATATGTTTTTCAGTAAAGATTTCATTGTAGCTAGATATAACCACAAAAACATTTTTCACAAGTCCATCTTGCATGTACCTTCAAGATTATGCTAATTTCCTTTTTGAACCTTCTATCAGAGCTGTTATTCTTAGCCAGTTACAATGACACTTCCAGTCATGTAGTCTTGTTTGCAGGTGCTAATAGTTGCTGGTTTCATCAATCTTTCTGCTATGTTAACTACAATATTGTGGTATAGTCTTTTAAGGGAGGAGGTTGTTGAAGTAATACCATGCACTACAGCACTTAGTGACACCAACACTAGTGATGTCAACAGCTGAATTATGACCTTTTCCTAATTCTTTCCACATTCCAGATTGAGGAAGTGAACCGTGATGTCTGCAACAGCAGCCAGGAGATTGAAGAAAGCAACAACAAGGTTACAGAACTGAGACGCCAACTACAAGCCCTACAGATTGACTATGAGGCCCAGTGCAGCCTGGTAAGAGAAAGCTCTGCATCACTGGAAGCATGAACTGATGAAAGTGGGGTGGGCGGGCAGATGAATGAATGGAGGCAGGTAATGTGCCTACATATGGTACATGTGCACTAACCACAGAAACAACACACTTTGTGGAAGTGCTCCTGGGGCCAAAGGATTTGTTCCTATGCCTTGTCCACCTGATTAGGGAAAAAATAAGACTTTAATGGGCAGGGCACGAGGTGCTGGGATTGTTCCACTGCCCCACTGATTCTCCACAGAGGCTGGTAAATCAGCATGGGGGATTTCATCAATGTAATGAGGTCCTTGGTCTAGAAATGAAAACTACAGTCTGGAAGGAAGGAAAGAAGGAAGGAGAGAGTTCTGCACTGTACCATGCTGCTAACTAGAAACAGAAGATTTGTTAATGAAGAAAAATGATGTTTCTCCTCTATTTCTCAGAGGGACACCCTTGAAGCTTCCCTGGGTGAAACTGAGCTTCGCTACAATGGCCATCTGGGAGATCTGCAGGAGCGCATTTCCTGCCTAGAGCAGCAGCTGGCTGAGCTGCGTTCAGAGATGGAATGCCAGAACCATGAGTATACAGAGCTTCTGGACGTCAAAAGCCGACTGGAGCAGGAGATTGCCACATACCGTGGCTTGCTGGAAGGGGGACAGAATGACAGCAAGTAAGTGGCAGAGAGAGAGGTGGTGAAACACACCCTCCCCGATAAAATGAATTACCATTAGTGGTAGGACACACTTCAGTTTGGCTTTGATTTTTTTCCAAAAGTTACATATATCTTACAATGTGGTATCTTATAACAACACAGCAGGTCCCAGCAGAACATTAGTGGCTGGGACTTATCACATGGCATAGTAATTCCTCTTGTTGTTACCCTAGTGAGAGACTGTTTGAGACCCATTACTTTTAAAAACAACTAGCTTAAGTACTCAGCAATTCCCAAGTTAGATATTTGGTAATTTGTAACACTATGTATTTGAAAAAGTCATTGTTTTTGGATTTTATGAACGGTCCCATTAAGAAATTGTATAAGGGTGTGTGTGTGTGTGTGGGGGGGGGGGGTTTACAGCTCACATCATGCCAGGTTAACCCCCCGCAAACCCTACCAATACTTAAAGCTGGTCATATTGGATATATGTGCTCTCTAGATGTGGGATGAACTACAACTTCTATCATGCTGGATGAGTCCCTCCAAACCTTTCCAGTATGTTCTGTTGGTCACAGAAGGTTTGTGCCAATTGTGGTCCAGATCTATCATTGGTGGCATTCAGAGTGCTCTCTAGATGCAGAGAGAACTACAACTCTCATCTTGCTGGGTCAGTTTCCCCAAACTCGACCAATATTCAGAGTTGGTCATGTTGGGTATGCATGCCAATCCAGATCCATTGTCAGTTGGGTTCAGAGATCTCTCTGGATGTGGGAGAACTGTAACTCCCAAACTCTAGGGCCACTCCCTCCCAAACACCTCCAGTATTTTCTGTTGGTCATGAGGGGTCTGTGTGCCAGGTTTGGTTCAGATCTGTCATCGGTGAGGACCACAGAGCAATCTGGAAGTGGGAGCCAATAGGAAATTGGTTACAAAGGTACATCGTCATGGGTATACATACATGCATACATACATAGATGCACTTTTATTATAAACAAGTTGAAATCATCAGCATAATATATTCAATATAGATAATAACTTCCTTCTGGAAAAGAAACATTTTCCAACCATCTCTCATAGAGAGAACAACAGAAGAGGAATTGTGTCATGTAATGATTCCTGCTCTTATCCTGCTGTAACACCAATTTACTTGCCGCTTGTGAGGTCCTTAGAATAGAAAAACCTTATTTGAATACATGAGAGGCTGCAATTGATGGATATATCTCTTGTGGCCCAGGGCCAAGGCAAATGATTTAAAAGTTCAAGTTTGAATCCCTGTATATTCAACCATGCTAGCACTGATTTCGAGCTACTACTTCTTTTGTACAGCAGGCTTCCCATATTTAAACACATTAATTGCAGCTAAAATAAGTCACTTTTTACATTGGGAACAGCTTCGCCCATTAAATTTAGCCAGTGCAGAACAACAAATTTATCAGTTTGGCTTTGCTTTTAATTTTAAGAATTTTTTTCAAGCCAAATTTGGTTGAATCTGTAGATGCAGAACCCATGGATATGGAGAACTGAATGTAATCAAATATTTTAGTGCTGAATCAGAGCACCACATTTTTGTTGTTATTGTGCTTCTCACCTCTATCACCTATAAAAAAGGAAGAATGTTGAAACTTTGATCTAAGAATGTGCAGTGCATGTGTAATGCATTTGGCCAGCGGAAATAGAAGAAAAAAATGTTTGAAATGGTTTTTGATAATAATTTATGCAAGTACTATATGTCTTGACACATGACTGTAAAAACCTAGGAGAAAGTGGAGCAGATAGATTTCCCTTCCCATTGGTTTTTTGGACCATTCTCGTTTAGCAAGTATCAAAATGTTCCTCAGAATCTCCCCCAGAGAACAATGAAAACAGCTGACACTGATATGCTGAATTGAGAATCTGTGTGGGTGAAATGACATCTGATCTTATTGATCGACACTCTTTTTTTTCAGCAGCCACAATGGAGGAGGCGGGAACACCACCAGAATTAGTACTGCATCAAATGGACGATCCAGTGAAAGTCGGTCAACCCACACTTACGGGACCCATTCTGCAGTTCATACACACCATGGAGGCCACGTACACCACTAGGCCAACAAGGAAAAAGTTCTTGAGGTGAGAGTGTGTATGTGTGTGTGTATGTGTATATGTGTGTGCGTGTGTGTATGTGTGTGTGTGTGTGTATATGTGTGTGCGTGTGTGTGTGTTTGTGTGTGTGTGTGTGTGTATATTCTTGTTGACTTTTCCTCTGTCTATGAGATTTTGTGATAGTGCCCCATGTTAGGATAAAGATAAAAGTACATGAAGGCACAATGTGGCTCCTAGCAATATCTTAATTAGATACCTAAGATGAAATCCCAAGTCAATCAAAGTGAAAAATTGGTAATGTTCACAGGAGTAATACCAATATATAGGTGATTTTTTTAACCACATCTCTAAAATCTACAACGTACTGGACTTGGATTACAAGCATAAATTGCTATCTTTGCAAGTATGCTATATAAAAGATATGATGCTAAAGGAAAATAAGCTGGGGAGGGAAAAGAAAGACACGTGGTTCCATGCGTCAATACTTAAAGTGGCAACTCCTACTGATATTATTGGAAGTAATTACAAATATAATAATTCCTCCACATTTGCAGTTTTATTGTTTGTAGTTTGCGAATTCATAGATTTGATTAAAATGTTATATCTAAGAACCTAAAGGTTGTCCAGTGTGACTCTATGGTCAGTTTTTCCCAGTCATGCTGAAGGACTTAAAGTGCATCTAGACTGTAGAATTTCTGTAGTTTGACACGGAAACTCAAATGCCTCAATGCTATGGAACCTTGAGGCTGTGGTTTTAGAAGGCCTTTAGCCTTCTTTGCTAAAGAGTTCTGGTGACTGAACAAACTACAACTCTCATTATTCCACAGCACTGAGCCCTGGCAATTAAAGTGGAGTCTAACTGCATTACTTCTACAGTGTAGATGCACCCCTGGAGATGTTTTGAAAGGTTCTAGGAATTTCTGTCCTTTAGTGTGATTCTTTGGTCAGTTTCTAGCAGAAGTTAACCACAAAGTCATGCTGGAAGATTTAGAAATTCCCAGAGAGAGACATGCAATAGCAATTTCATGATTCCAGAATTTTATTTTCACACGGGTCCTGTGCCCCTAATTCCAATGAATGTGGAGGGTTAATTCTAAACTAAAGTAGTCCAGAAAGAGAATGAGCCAATGGTATCTCAGCCAAACCAATAGAGATCTCATCTCTATAATCTTTCTCCTTCTGCTGAAGCCAGATGAAATGGAAACTCAAACATTATTGCTGAGAGAGATGAGGAGACAAATAGTATGCAATACAGATGGCCCTTCACTTTTGCAAGTTTAACTTTAATGGAGTTGATTATATTTGAATTTGATTAATATGGTCTTTTTAGGAATCTCTAGGTCTTCTACTGCAATTCCATGTTCAACTTCTAGAGTTATATTAGAAGTTGACCATGGAGTTATATCGGAGAACCTAGAGATTCATAGGGAAAATACCTTTAGCACAACCCAATGGTCAACATAGTGGAAACTGACCATAGAATATCCCACATTGAACCTAGAGATTCTTAGAAAGGTCCTGACCTCTGATAAGCACAGATGTCAGAACTGAGTTCCACTGTCGTCCTCAATGACCATAAAAGTACATGTACAAGTTTGAGTTGAATTTATGTCTGCATTTCTCATCAACATGAGACCGACCATGGTTGTACATGGATTCAAATATATTCCGTCAATATGAATGATGTAATGTTGACTTTTTCATTGTCATAGTAACTATATTTTGCTTCTTTCTGCCCATCTTTAGAGCTGCAGAATGTTAAAGAAAACCATGTCCCTAGAGAAGCATACCCAATGGTACATCTGAGTTGCTGTTGTTCCATCTGTCTAAATCACACCTTTCCAAGCTGACCAGAGATCCCACTTCACTATCTTCCATGCTACTATCTATTTACTATTATTCTGCAATGTAACCTCTGTCAAGCTTGCTCAACCATCACGCTTTAGTGCCGTGGTTGGTTCTCTACTAGCCACTGAAAACAAAATAAGGGATCAAAAATAAAGCTCTGCTTTTTTCTGTGTGCTGCTCAAGGCCTGCGTGTTCAATATGTTTTCTCTTATCAAAACTTGAAAAGCATTGAATAAATAATGGTGAGCACTAAGACACCATCCACGCTGCAGAATTCTAGCAGCATGATACCACTTTAACTGGCATGACTCTTTTTTACATAATCCTGGGATTTGTGGTTTGTTGTGGCATCAAAGCTCTTTGACAGAAAACAGTCAATATCTCACAAAGCTACACATTCCAGAATTCCATAGTACTGAGACATAGTTGTTAATGTGGTGTCAAGCTGCTATAATTTTGCAGTATGAATCCAGCCGCAGTCACAAACAAGCAAAGTTACTATCCTACAGAACGAATATCATTGGGTCATGGGTTCTACAAGACAAGTGGTTCTCAACCTGTTGGTCCCCAGATGCTTTTGCCTTCAACTCCCAGAAATCCTAACGGCTGGTAAACTGGCTGGGATTTCTGGGAGTTGTAGGCCAAAACACCTGGGGACCAACAGATTGAGAACAACTGTACTAGACTTAAAGGGATTCTATCTCCAATGGCTATGAAGCTTAGCATCTCTGTGAATATACAAACACCAATGTGGAAATATGGGTAACTAAGCATGTATACCTGTGCATGCCTATTGAATCAGATCAAAACTCTGTCAAAGGACCTCTTCACATGACCCTGGATCCACTTCCACAAAAACATAGCTTCCGCTGCTTTCTCAGGTGGACATCTCTTGTCCCTATAGTTTACCCATCTACTTGAGGTCTTATCTTTCTGCCATGGTCTGCATTCTTGTGCCCCAGAGCTTTAATAAGGTAGGAATATTATAAACTCACACACTTTTAGCTTTTCCTTGAGATTGCACAAAACATTTCACATATGCAGGTTGAGTATCTCTTTTTTGAAATGCTTGGGACCAGAAGTGTTTTAGATTTTGGAATACTTGTATTTGCATATATGTGCACAATGAGCTATCTTAGGAGATGGTGCCGAAGTCTAAACATGAAATGTATGTATGCTACATATACACCTTATACACATCAACTAAAGGTAATTTGATACAATATTTGTAATACTTTTGTTCATGAAACAAAACTTGTGTACAGTGAATAATCAGAAAACAAATGTATCAGTTTCTCAGCTACCAACACCGACAATTTCAGATATTGGATATTTTGGGATAGGTTGAGATCAAGGATGCATAACCTGTATATTACTAACTCTGGCAAACCTTGTTATTATTCCCATAATGAAAGTGGAGGACTGAAACCAACAGCTAGAGCCTACCCTAAGGCCGCCCAGTGAGTAGTACATTCAAAAGTAACAACTACATAAGAAGGACTTTCTAAATCACAGCTTATGCGATTTATTATGTGCTTTATAATGTGGTTGATTTCATAGAAATAATTATGCCACTTTGATGGGAAATGCTCATCTTGCACATTAATTAAGGCCTGCTCATTCTGTGCAGATTCTCACCCACCCATGTGATGACTATTACCTTGTGAACCAATTTTCAGTATTCCAGAAAGAAACACCTTGTTTGTTGTAGGTATGTTCTCGGGACTTCACATTCAGTTTAGTAATCAAAAAGTTCCTGCCTTGTCCAGTCAGCATGTGTCATTTTTGTTGCTTCAGACTACCTGACTGTTTTCTACCACATCCAATGAAGACTTCACACAGAGATCTGTACTCCATGGACTCCTTCTGACCTTCTAGTCCTTTATTGTTCTGAAGAACATTTTACATTGAATTACTTACTTACTTACGTTGAATATCTGGAAGCTGATTCAAGCAGAAATGGGATAGATTCCTTAGAGCCCATTTCACCATCCCACCAGTGCAAATCTTTTCTGATTTTGCCATAAGATTACATGGCAGCAGGTATGCCTTTTTAGAATGGAAAGATGCCATATTGCAGACTGTCTGATCCTCTTTTGATCAAACCAAATGAAAAAAGGCAAAATCTGATGAACCACATAAGCTTCTATAGCACACCCTCCAACATTTCACAGATGAAAACCAGAATGCATATGGTCATTGGTCAAGCAATATCAAAATGTGATAAAAATGGCAAACACTGCTATGAAGATTCCATCTTTCTTCACTTTTCTCATCTGCTGAATTAAAAGAAAGAGAATTACTTTTGTATTTTGAATGCAGTTTTCACAGTTGAAGTAAGCTGAGGACAAAAAAGGAAATGGGAGCATTTTGAAAGCAACTGAAAATGAGTTGACACGGTTATTAATTGGGAATGTTCCATTCAAACTGGCACAATCAATGCATATGCTAAACAAATTCAGATCAGAAGCTCGTGTTAAAACATTTTTGGTCAAAGTTAGCCATAAACATTAGCACTTCAAGAAGCAATGCAATATAGGCATAAGGATATACACACTAGTATGCAACATGATACCTTTTAGATACCTTGTCTTACACCTCTCCATAAATCTCCAGGAACATAACCAATGGGAATGGATTATGAGATGAAGGCAAAAACATCTGCAGGCCCCTAGATTGCCTACTTTTGTAATGTTTACTTGGGTTTCAGGCTTCCTCAGCCTTGGCCTTTACAGTACCATGGTCTCAGATCTAGGCCCCTTCTATGCGGCCATTTTTTTTTCATGTCAGGAGGGACTTGAGAAACTGCAAGTCATTCTGGTGTGAGAGAATTGGCCATCTGCAAGTACATTGCCCAGGGGATGCCCGGATGTTTTGATGTTTTACCATCCTTGTGGGAGGCTTCTCTCATGTCCCCATAAGGGGAGCTGGAGCTGACAGTGGGAGCTAATCCGTGCTCTCTCTGGATTCGAACCTGTGACCTGTTGGTCTTCAGTCCTGCTGGTACAAGGGTTTAACCCATTGCACCACCAGGGGCTCCTATAATCCAGATTATCAAAGCAGATAATCCACATTATCTGCTTTGAACTGAATTATATGAGTCTACACTGTCATATAATCAGGTTCAAAGTAGATAACCTGGATTTTATATGGCAGTGTATAAGGGCTCCCAGATGGGATGCCAACCACGGTGATTTATTAAATCTGATTATTTTTTTCTTGGTTCTTGAATTTATCCTCTATTTTATATAAGTGCATGAAGAAGGGGAGAGAGCAATGGCACTATTATTCAATAATTGACTGTCTTCTGAAGAACCAATGTACTATTTAGTTATATGCTGAAAGGATACAGCCAATGTGAAAAAAACAGCTTCAATTCCTAGAGATGCAGGAGTGCATCTTTTTATTCTAATTCCATGGTGTGAAAAGATTGATTTTTCATTCAGAATTAAGTAGACAAACGACACAATTTAATATAGATAGATACCCTTTCATACAGATCTAGTTTTCAAACAATCCTAAAAAACAGTTGAATGCACAAATGGAAAAGGGGGGAAAGGGAGGACAAGAGGAAGAGAAGGAAGGATATATTTAGATTAATAATAATTTAGAACTTGGGCTTTCACATGCATCATGTTTTACCACTGGATTTACTACATTGCAGACCAGGAGGAAAGGTCCTCTATATGGGAGTTTATGAGATACATTATTTTTTATTATTATTGGCTGATTGGATCTGGAATTCAGTGCATTCTACAGTGTCAACATCCCTATTCTAGATGCCATTGTAGAGGCAGTCCCTACAACACACACCAGGGGGTGGCAATTGATTGTCCCTCCAGGTATTATAAAACTGCAACTACTGTACTTTCATTCTTTCTCCTTTACTAGATGTGTTAAGTCTACTGAAAGTTGTGTTTTAGGGCCCTTCCACACAACCATATATCCTAGAATATCAAGGCAGAAAATCCCACAATATCTGCTTTGAATTGAGTTATCTGAGTCCACACTGCCATATATCCCAGTTCAAAGTAGATATTGTGGGATTTTCTGCCATGATATTCTGGGTTATATGGCTGTGTGGTAGGGCCCTCAATTATGTTTGAGAGCCACAAAATTTCAGTCTCTTGCTCAACAAACTTAAGATGCTCATCACTGACCAATAACTGAAGCCTGTTTCTAGTGCATAGACAGGGCACATGTGAAGTGCTGTATGTTTTTGAACAGCAACTCCCACCACTCCACTCCAGGATAGTCAAGGTGAAGGATGATAAGAGCTGTAGTACAGCAAGATCTGGCAGCCCATTCCAGTGGTATTGAGAAGTTTGGGTGAGAAAGCCATTGGGACCTTTGTTATAGGTGTACAAATTTCAGGTTTCTTAAACTGGAAGCAACAGATTCAGGAAGCAACAGATCCAGTTCCCTGTAATAGAAGATGCTGCAAGTAGCTTCTGGTGTGAGAGAATCAGCCGTCTACAAAGACGTTGCCCAGGGGACACCTGGATCCTGCAGGGAGGCTTCTCTTGTGTCTCCCAGAACCTCAATCAGTGGATGAGACCGGATGAGAGACTCCCTCCTGGGCACACAGAAGACTGGGTGACTTGGAAGGCACTGAACAGGCTGTGCTCTGGCACCACGAGGTGCAGAGCTAACCTTAAGAAATGGGGCTACAAAGGGGAGTCCATGACATGCGAGTTCAGAGAATAGCAAACTACAGACCACTTACTACAATGCAGCCTGAGCCCTGTCACATGCACAATGGAAGACCTTCTTACAGCGACACCAGAGGCACTCCAAGTGGCCAACTTCTGGTCAAAGGACATTTAGTACAATGCCAAGTTTCTAACTTCGTTTGTGTTTTTAAATAGATGATAACTGTGCCCTCAATTTGCTTCTGACACCATAAATAAATAGACACAAAAGATGGTTACATGTCACAAGTAAAATCACAAGTAAAAATTCCATGGATGAGTTGTTTTGGTTAGACACAGAGCTATGACAGGTGCAAAAGAATATGTAGATTTATTATGGGGAGTGGTAAACAAATGAATTACAGCATTTTGTTCGGTTTTTATGAACACAATCACTGTGCATAAGTTGCAATTAAAGTAATAGAGATCCCTCCTTCCCCAGAGGATCATTCCAGCTTTGATTTCAAATCTATGCTGACTTGTATT